GAGGCGGGATCCTATCGCCCGAGGGAACGGCGTTCCTGGGTCGATCCCTTCTCCGCCCTTGCCCCGGTCCCCACTCTGGGCTCGTCCTGGAAAATGGATGCCCCTTGTGGCCAACCAGAGCGGGGCCCTGCGCACCCGGCGGCGGCCGCCCTGGGTGGCTTTGGCTTGCTCTGCTGGGGCTCAGCACTGTGGGCAACATCGAAAGACCTCTCTGAACTTGGAATGGATCCCTTTGCCGCCTTCCAGCTGGGCTCTGGCCACGTTCTTTTACAGTGGTTGAAGTCCAGAGTTGGGTGTCACCATAATAGACTCAAAGATGTTGGACCCCAGAAGGAAAACCTAACACCGGACCCCCCCTGTTAAAAATAGGACGAAGCTCTACATTTGAGGCAGGGAGGAAAACTTCTTGACACCATCACATTCTCCGTCCTAGACACAGTTTAGATACTACTAGGGTGGCAGGGAAAGCATAGTATAATAGGAATCAGTAACACCTAGGATTTTGCTAGCTGGATCCTCTCAGATTAATTTCCTAAATGCTGTGGTCTGATTTATCAAAGTGACTCGACAAAGGCGCACCTGTTGCCAAAATATTTCCACTGTGAGATCTAAAGGTCGTAGAGACTTCTAACTGCGCATTCAGTCCCGTAGTCAGTGAACATTAGTTCTTAGTGCTGACCAAACACAAGCGCAGAGCAGGGGGAATCGGCGTAGGTACCTGTCTGTCCTAAAGGATCTCACCACATATTGCATAAATAAATAATCACAGGCAATGCGATGATGCTGTAGGGAAAATACTCTTGTCCAAGTATAGGGCCTGGGAAGATGGAGGAAAGGAAAAAATAGACTATGTGCACGAGGCAGTGTGGGGAGTAAGAAATTATAGAAGAATAAGACTTCAACAATTGGTTGTTAGTGTGCAGTAAGGGAGAATAAACATGCAAGACCATTCCTGAGCCACACCCGTCAGTTCCTGAATTTAAAGATTGAATACCAAGTAGTTGGCCATCTTAGTGAGAAGGAGAAGCTGCATTCCAGAGAAAAGACATATTTTACTCTGGGTAGCTGCAAATAAGATTTCCAGAGAGCCACTCAAATATTAGGTAGGTTAGAAGATGAAGTCAGTGGTGAGTCCTAGCCTATATATACATATATCACTGAACCTCCCTAGACCTCAGTCTCCTCATTTAAAATGTGTTAGTTCCTAGATCCTTGAAACAGAATAATCTTTTACTGAGATAATTCTTTAAAATTGTTCAACAGAAGGGCCTCTGGTTAAATTTCATCTTAGTTACTGTTCTATTGCTGTAAAGAGACGCCATGACCAAGGCAACTTATAAAAGAAAGCATTTTCCTGAGGACTTTCAGAGAGTGAGTCCATGACCATCCTGATGGCAAGCATGGCTGCAGGCAGGCTCAGGACTGGAGCAGCAGTCAGAGGGCTTACAGGTGGCGATAACAACCAAGAGACACACACACAGGGGACCAAGCTTTCAAACATTCTCATTCAAACAATCACAGGCCTATAGTTCAAGATATCTAGAGGTTAAGAAAGGGTATGCACTTCTTCCCAGGAGGTTGAGACCACCCTGGGTACCATAGTAAACACCTGCCTCCAACATCAACAGTCAGCTGATAGAATTTTGCACACACCAAGTGCATATCACCGTTATTAAAATCTGTTCTAATTACCTGTGGGCTATTGTTCTTGTTTCTATGAGACTTGCCACGTGGCCCAGCTGCTCTCAAACTCAAGGCGGCCAAACTCCTGCCTCCACCACCACACCCAGTTTTAATCAACATTAATAGAAAACATTTTTAAAATCAGAGAAAATACCTTACCCAGCTTTGACTTCATCATGGTACCTGTATTACAAATGTATCTCACTGTTGTGATAAGATATTCTGACAAATGCCACAACAGAGATAAAGGGCTCATTCTGATTTGCAGTTGGAGGGTTAGTCCTTCCCGGAGGAAGGCATGGCAGAGGGAGCCTGAGGGATTTTCCCCACTGTAAACAGGCAGAGAGGGTTGAACGTTCAGGCCCAGCCTTTGTTTACCTTTTTGTTCAGTCCTGGACCACATTCAGACTATGGAATAGAGCCAAACAGGGTTAAGGTGGGTTTTCCCATTCCAGTTAACCTCATTGAGATCATTCATCACATGCATGCCCAGAGGCTTGTCTTCTAGAAACTTCTAGAACCAAGCAAGTTGATAACATAAAATGATCACAGTGTCCAACCAAACAGTCAATATACTACATTGAGTGTTCACAGCTTGACAGTCCCACATTTGAGCATTACTTTCTAAGGTGAGCAATTTGCAAACATTCTCACAAGAACCCCACAAGTTGGGCACTAACTACCCTCATATGACAAATGAGAATCTGGAGACAAAAGGTTCAGTAACTAAAGTGTGACAAGGACATAACTCCAGTGCGCATCTTCCTCCATCCAGACTGAGTCTTCTTTTCCATGGCCTACTCTGTTTCCTGTGGGCCTGTAATCCCTTGCTCCTGGGAAGGAGATAGGCTCACATCCAGCAGGAAGAGCTGTTCCTATTGTGGTTTTATATCGATGGATCTTGTTTCTCATCTGGTCATTCAGTGTCATTATCTTCCTCGTGTTTGAGAACCAAATTTATTCCCAAATTTGAATGTGGTGAATGGGTAGGGTTTAGAACCTAGAAAGACAGCTGACCCAGGTTGGATAGGCCACCTGAAGTTTCTCACATCAACTCTCTGTGACTTTGCTCCACCTTGTGGCAGCTATTTTCTTAGCCCTATGCGCCTCCCAACTGCCTCCTAATTTACATACTTTCACTCTTCAGAGGAAAGTTATTGGAAATTTCCCAGATAGTGAGATTCCTGCCCTTTCTGGGTAACCCAAGTTTCCATGAGTAGAACTTCTTTTACCATCTGACCCTTTACCCTTGGAGCACGTGTTCACTGGGGATCTGGCAGCGACACAGCATCACTTACTGAAGTGTTAACTTTGTTTTGGTTTGTGTGTGTGTGTGTGTGTGTGTGTGTGTGTGTGTGTGTGTGTATGTGTGTGTGTATGCACCTATCTGAGTGGAGGAAATACATTGGCATCAATTGTTTCCTCAATCACTCAACCCCTTTTCTGAAACACTGTCTCTCTCTGGACCTGGAGCTTACCCATTTGGCTAGACTGACTGATTGGCCAATAAGCCCCAGGGAGTCTCCTGACTCTGCCTTCCCGGCAGTGAGATGACAGACACACACCACCACACTGAGAGTTTTCCACATTTGCTGGAGATCCAAACTCAGGTCCTCATGCTTTCGCAGTGGGCCCTTGACCAAAGTTGATCTGTCTTCCCTGACTCTGAGACAACTTTTTAGAGTAGTGGATGGAAATGCAGAATCACTGCCAAGTTCGAATACATCTTTTTAGCTACAGTTTTGGCTTCAATGAATTTCATATCCGATGTGGGCCATTCTGGGTCTCCCCTTCGATGAAAGGGGACATTCTTGTCCATCCCCACAGGGGGATTGAAGATGAAGAAGGTGAAGTTCTGCCAGCATGCTCAGCTATATTCATGGATCAGGCCCAAGCTCAGGACACGGAGCTCTGAACACACACATACACACACTGTAATGTCTAGACTCCCCAAGACCCCTGACTTCACAAACTGTTTGCACTTAAGATTTCAGTGGATTGCATTTGGGGATCAAGTCCTGGGACATTTTATAATGTGTGGCCTTAGTACTGATCACTAACACCAGTATTATTTCAGAGTCTGTTTAAAATTCAGACACACTAAACATAAGATGACACTTCCCAACGCTAACGTACACGAGAGCCACCTGGGGATCTTGTCCTAATGCATCCTGATGCCTTCGGAGGAAAGCCTGAGATTCTCGGTTTGAGGCCATGTCAGGAACACTGGCATAAAAGCCATTTTGAGGAGCAAAGAAACCACACGGTCCAAAGACTGAGTAGAAAGAAATTCTCCAGGTGGTTCTATTTGAATGAATCTTCGCTCAAAACTGAAGGACATTACAAGCATATCCTTATAAAAGAATTTTATTACTCGAGCGACAGTGCAGGTGTTGTCCAGATTGTTGCTTTGTTTTTTCCATTTAATTGTGTCTCTAAGAAACTGTTTCCTTGGTAAAATTTTCATTTTAGCCTTCTCATCTGTAAGACTGAAATAATCCTTGTAGGTTTGTGGTGGGGATTAAATTTGAGGTGTCTAAAGCCTTTAGCACCAACTCTGGCACATACTAGGTACCAGGTAAACACAGGCTGTTATCAGTGTCATTGTGACTATGTTCCTTATAGAAGGTTAAAACCTGAACACGCAGCACAGTCACTGCTGAGGTAGAAGACCAGAGCCTGCTTGGCTACCCTATTTATCTTCTTCTTGGAACTTCCCATGATAGTTGAGAATTGGTTGGATGTAATGTGTTTGTTTAATAAGTTTTTCTACCTTTCCTTTACGCCTTTTCAAATATTCTATCGAACAAAAATCTATTGACTGCCTTGGGTTGGGAGTTTTTATTATTGTTGTTGTTGTTGTTGTTTTGTTGGGGTGTGAGACAGGGTGTTGCTAGGTAGCCCTGGCTGGTCAGGTGTTTATGATTTGGCCCAGAGAGGCCTTGGATTTGCAACAATCCTCCTGCCTGAGCCTCCTAAGTGCTAGAATGACAGGTGTTAGTCACTATGTCCAGCTCCTTCAACTCAATTCTAATCAATATTTACTGGGTAGTTATGAGGCTAAACCACAGGACATTCCTAATGCTTGATTATTTCTGAACATAGAAATGGTAGTATCACATAGTCCAGCCTAATGAACTATAAGTCCAGCAGCCCTCTGGCCGCTGTAAACAAAATGAAATGTTTAAGACCCTTTTTGGAGTAGCTAAATGAAAGCTGTATTGACCCTGCCCAGATTTAGAGCAAACCGACTCTTGGGCTAGGTTAGTCCAGTGTGCTTATCAAGGAGCCCGTCCAGAAATGCCAGTCACTATTTTAAAAGACACTTGGATCATAGTAACAGTTGTTTGTTGAAATGATGTAAATACATATTTTCTTCTTTGGGGTTGGGGGAAGTGGCAGAGTGAGAAAGACAAGCTGTTAAAAAGTCTTGCCAACTTCATCCTGATGCACTTTCTGTGGAAGGCAAGAACAAGGGATGAGACAATAAAGGGGAGTTTGCATGAAGCTCTGCTTTGGTGGTGTAGGAGACCTGAAGCAAAGGACAGAAAGGAAAGAAACAGACTATATTCAGAGGCAAGGCAGAAAAAAAAAAAAAAGAAACTGAGTAGTTATTCTGAAATGTTCAACTGGATGATTCAGCTCTGCTCTCCTGCCAAAACCTTGAGTCTGATGTTCAAGAGAAGTATTTAAAGCTGAAATAATGAGGATTTGAAACCTCATTTCATTTCAATAAAGCTGCTTTGTCACAGATTCAGGCACATGCTCAGAGTCATCTGTTTCCATTTCACACCATTCACAATTAAAACAGATCTGCCTTCTTTCATCTCCTGTCTGTAATGTCTGAACACCTACACTGGTGAGCCTCTCATCAGGACCATTTTCTGCTCTTAGAATTCTACTACAGTTTCCTGCTCTGCTGCCCAATGGAGTCGGAAGATAAAGATTACATGCACCCATATGGATGGAAATATTAGATCCCATCACTTATTTGTAAAAGACCGTATTAGCATTCAAAGGAAAACAACAAAAGTTGAGCCAGACCCGAAATGTCAGCAGCAATTCAATGGTCAGAATGAGAGGTGGAATTATATGTACACAGAACAAAGTGTGACCAAAAGATGTCTTAGCAAATTCGGATCCCATCTTGCCCATATCTTAGGAAGAAGAGGACAGACTCTGCTCTCTTTTGCCCTGCACTTTGGTAGAAGACACTCAGAGGCTGCCTGCTCTCCTCAGGTTTTCCCTAGAGACATGGGCTGTGAATCTAGTCTTCATTGCTGCATAGATATGTGCCATGTAAGGAAAGTCTGAGGTTGGTAAATAGAGCATAAACTCTTCCTCCTGAACCTGATGGGGGAGTACTTCTGTGTATATGTTTGTCTTATTGGTTGATAAATAAAGCACTGTTGGCCAATAGGAAAGCAAGATAGGTGGGGCTAGGATTGGAGGAGGATTCTGGGAAATGTAGTAAAGACAGGGTTGTCATGTGATAGCCAGCAAGAGAGAATGCATGCCACCGGTGTCCTCCATAAGTCTTTATAAAATATATACATTAATAGTTATGGTTGATAATTAAGACTGAGCTAGCATATAAGAAATCCTGGTCATTGGCCAGCAGCATTGAACCTAATATAAGTCTCTGTCTGTTATTTGGGGGGCCTAACGTTGCAGTGGTACTCAGGTGGCTGGTGGAAAGAGTTATCATTACATGAACCCCATAAAAGGAAGCCCCAAACAATAAGTGGGGTGCTTAAGTACCCTCACTCCTATAGCCCAATGTTACTCTTTCACACCATGTTTCTTTCTGATCTATACTATGACTTGGCTCTTGAGTAAAGTATCTTTGCTACTTTGCAATCTCTGTGAGCCTTTATCTCATTCTTGAAGAGGCCAAGAACCTGGAGACAGTTGGCCCAGAGCCCTGACCACTGGAAGCATCCATATTGACTGAGGTTCCTGGTCTGTACTGGATTGCACATTGTGTCACATAGTCCACAGGTTTTCACAAGTGTTTCATGGCAGCATAACACAGAATGGTTTCATGGTCTAATTCCTTTTTTAAAATCATATTCTGTGACATCTCATTTTCACTGTAAAAGAAAGTCCAGATATGAAATGTATTTGCTTACCATGCTTCAAAAATGGATTTGCAGTGGTTCTAAAGGGGAAATTCAGCCCCCATTGTAAATAAGAAGGTGGAGATGAGCCAGGCGGTGGTGGCTCACGCCTTTAATCCCAGAGCTCGGGAGGCAGAGGCAGGCAGATCTCTGTGAGTTCGAGCCCAGCCTGGTCTACAAGAGCTAGTTCCAGGACAGCCTCCAAAGCTGTAGGGAGCCGGTTCCTGCATTATCCATGACACCAAGATGTAAATTACTTCACAGGCGCTGGGTAATTTCCATTCCTTTGATCTCTGCCTATCTCGTGGCTCATTTTGGCCTGAGGAGTTGAAGCCATTCATAGGGTAACACGTCCCAGGCGGCTGGTCAGCCTTTATAAGGGATGGTTTTCTTGGTTCAGTGTCTCCGCTCAGTCTCCACTCTGGTAAGATGCATTAAAGCTTGTCTGCAGAAGGATCCGAGTGTCATGCGTGTATTTCTTGCTGGCGAGAAAATACAGAGCGCGCGGGACACAAAGCCACAAAGAAACCCTGTCTCAAAAAACAAACAAACAAAAAACCACACACACACACACACACACACACACACGCATGTGCTAGACAGAAGGGAGACTCTTCCCTAAGAGTCAAGGGCCATAAAGTAGGTTAGGTACTTGTCTTGGTTAGGATCTCTATTACTGGGAAGAGACACCATGACCACAGCAACTCTTATAAAGGAAAACATTTCATTGGGATGACTAGCTTACAGTTTCAGAGGTTCAGTCCATTGTCATCATGATGAGGAGCATGGCAGTGTGCAGCAGACATGGTGCTGGAGCTGAGAGAACAACAGAAAGTCTGTTGATTATCACACGGAGTGAAGCTTGTGTAAAAGACACACTTCCTCTAACAAGGCCACACCTCCTTTGGGGGCCGTTTTCTTTCAAACTGCCACAATTATGACGAGACATCAAATATCCCTCACATCTCAATGCCCAACAATCAATGCTTATCCCCTTGGCTTTCATTGATATTTGTCACTCAGGGTTGAGCTGGCCAAGATTCACCTTAATCCACTGTTATATCCTGAGGGGCTATAAAGAGGCAGTAAGGTGAATTTTGTTTTGGCTCCTACATTCTGCCTATACAAACACAAAATACCTGAGCTATGTTTTTGCCAAAACAAACCACAAAGCTAAATCCAACTTGGGCCTAACCTTACTCTGTTCAGCAAAGGGGAAAGGAGATGTGTATAAATTCTTCTGAGGATCCAACCCTCTCTCCTAGACTTTACACTTCAGAACTATGACATGTAGCAAATCTACTGTTTTTCTCAGTAGTTTACCCGTTCTGAAGGCAGAGCTATACTTTTGCCCTCCTGAGTTCCAATTGGGTTTGAGTCAGCCAAACACAGACAGATAGGAACTCTACAGCTGGAAACAAGCTTTAAGACCCTTGGATGATGGTGGGTAGGGCCTTAACTCTAGAATGCTGTCATGATGGATCAAACTGCATCATAACCAATGTGCTGCAGAACCTGGAAGCCCAGAACCAGGATAACAGCTGAGGGCTGCATGGTCTTGTCTCCCATGCATTGGCCATGCTGCCAAGGTCTGATGTCTTTGGGTGATTGTCTCCCACATTCATTGTGGTTTCCACAATTTTGGGGTCTACAGAGGCTCATTGTGCCCTGGAGCCCTATTTCTCCCCCAGCACAAATTCTACCGAGTTTTTTGTTTTGTTTTGTTTTACAGTGGGACTGGTGGGCTGCAACCTTAAGGACATGATTAAATTGATAGATTCACCAAGAGAGAAGTAGTCTTTGATATTGTCCCCTCAGTCTTCATATTCCAACTGATTCCAACACCAAAGGTAATCTTCAAACTGCAAATTACTCGAGGAGACATGCAGACACTAAAGGACACCCAGTGGCTCAACGACAAAATCATCAATTTTTATATGAATCTTCTCATGGAAAGAAATCAAAATCAAGGATACCCATCAGTTCATGCATTTAGCTTTTTTTTTACACCAAATTAAAGTGTGGGGGGCTACATCTCAGACAAAAGATGGCCCAAACAGTAAACCTCTTTGCAAAGGAACTTATTCTGGTGCCAATTTACTGCTACTGGAGCTTGGTAGCAATAGACCTAAGAGAAAAGAATTTCATCTATCTGGATTTGATGGGACAGAAAAGACCAGATATCCTTGAGATGATTTTCTCATATCTGCAGGATGATAGCAAAGCCCAGAAGAATACTGATCTGAACCCTTTGGAGTGGAAGCAATACAGCATGACAGCAGAGGAGATTCCTCAGCAGTGGAATGGGAGCGATTGTGGGATGGTTGCCTGTAAATATGCAGATTATATTTCCAGAGGCCAACCCATCACCTTCTCTCAGCAGCACATACCTCTATTCAGGAGGAAGATGGTGTGGGAAACCCTGGGTAAGAGCTTACTGTAGCTCTGCAGTCTTTCATGGACTGGATATTGTCACATACTTCAGACAGGGTGGGTTGAAGAGCTTGAAACACATTCTGAGCTGTAAAGAGTGGGTGATGCCCCACTTTCTGTAACGATAAATCTTTCTGCCAGCCGCCCAAGCCCTGCCTCCATGTGGACTCCTAAAATAACACACAGAGTCTTATATTAGGTACAATGCTTCTGGCCAATGACTAGGATTTTATCTGCTAGATCAGTCTCAATTATTAACCATAACTATTAATCTATGTATTTTATAAAGACTTATCTTATGGAGGACGCCAGTGGTGTGCATCTTCTTCCAGGATCACATGGCAGCTCCACAGAGAAGAGAGGAGGAGGAAAAGAGTGATTTCCTGCTTATATTCTGAGTCTGCCTGCTATGTCACTTCCTGAATCACAAGAGTTCGCTTTACTACATTTCCCAGAATCCTCCTTGACTCCTGGTTCTGCCTAACTTGCTTCCCTATTGGTCAACAGTACTTTATTTATCAACCAATAAGACAAATATATTGGGAGAGGTCCTTCTGTGTATATGTTTGTTGTGTATAAATTGGCCAATAAGAAAGCAAGATAGGTGGGACTAAGAGTCAAGCAGGATTCTGGGAAATGTAGTATAAAGATCCAGGCAGGAAGTGACATAGCAGGCAGACTCAGAAAGAAAATTGCTCTTGCTCTTCCTCTTCCTCCTGCTCTCTGCTCTGGAGCTGCCATGTGATCTGCTGGCAAGAGAGGGCACTTACCGCCGGCATCCTCCATAAGATAAATCTTATAAAATATATAGATTTATGATAATTAAGACTGAGCAAGCATATAAAAATTCCTAGTCAATTGGCCAGCAGCAATTGTCAACTAATATAAGACTCTGTATGTTATTCTGAGTGCCCACGTGATGGCGGGGCTCGGGTGAATGGAGTAAAGACTTGTTACACTTCTCCCATCAACTTTCTTCTATGTAATGCTAACTTGGAGCAAGGAAAAGTTGCATCTGAGGCAATCTATATAAATATATGTGACTCCCACAAATTAGAAACTATTTGACCTGCCCAACAAAACATGCTCATGAGCATGCCACTTTAAAAATTTTGTGATTGAAGTCAAGGTTGGCTTCATCTCTCAATTTTTTCCCATGGTTTTTCAATTTTGCTGTTCTTTTTCACAAGTTTGAGCTAATTGGCAGCAGCTGTTTTCCGAGATTTTTAATGTTTAATTTTCAACTTCTTGTTTGAACTATTTATTTTTGAAAGGAATGCCAATCCAATTGCCAGTCTATGATGTGAATCAGGCTGGTCACCTTTCATTAATGTGGGGGCCCTACAGGAGTTTCAAAGTATTGGTGAACTGTGACCATAGGACCTGGGACTCGGACCATCTAGGAGTATTAGGAAAAGTGTCACAGATATTTCAAGATACTTTATGCCTGGAACTAAGGAGATCTGTTTAATTCTTGGAAGTGAAGTAACTGTAATGCCAAAGGTGCATTTTAAATACAGGTTTTCTTGACTATAAGCCTCACCCTTCTGTGTGTTGTATGGAACTATTTATTGAAAAAAAAATTCAATTTAAAGCTATTTTCTTTATATTGTCTTGTATATATTAAGATGAAATTAAATATTTTCATCATTAATATTTATATTATACTACTCTACCTGCACTATTAGTATAGATTTAATGATATTTAGTGTTGATATTGCTAAATATACAATAATCCATTTTACATATGAAACAGAACTTGATTTTTCTGTTAATTTTAAATCTTACGTTTGTGTTCATGAAGTTCTTGTTTAATAAAGTTTAGTGTTGTTTGAACATACTTTGTAAGGTCTTGTGCCTGATGGTCTCTACATGGTGTAATGATGTTGTCTGAGAGAACTGGAAAGCATTTACCCAGGACAGGATTCATCAGTGTCAGCTGGAAACTGTTCCCACATCTGTGTATCAGTGACTGTTCTTTTGTTCTGAGCCACTGATGTGTAGACAGAACACTTTAGTGAGTTCTTCACCTCTATCCCTGATTGTAGGAGAAGATGGGAGAAGCTTAGTAGAGCAGAGCACAGCACCACCCTGTAGAGCTACAGCAATGTAGCCTCCATGGAATATGAACAGGAACATTGATCTCTGGACTCCCAGTGCATGAGCAAGGAAGCCCATACATGAGTGCACACATATACACACACAGCAAGCTCACACCTGCCAATGAGCCCAAAAGCTCATGCTATGACACAGAAGCACTCATTCTTTGTACACCAGGGTCATTAGAGTTACTGAAATCTATCTTGGTGCTCTCTCCTTCTCCCCTTGGGCTTACATTTTCTGAGTAAGTTGCTGCTGTTTGTAATGTGTTCTGTTTCCACTCAATTCCTTGCTTTTGGATAGGAGAAACTGGAACTCCCTTAGAATCTTCTCTCGACCTCAATCTCCAATATCAGCTGTGCCAGAGTATTTTTCAAGGGCTACACATAGGCATTCAAAAAAAAAAAAACAAAACAAAACAAACAAACAAACAAACAAAAAAAACTATAAATTCTGTAATCCTCCAAGTGGTAGTAATTCTAGAAGCTGTAGGTAGCTGCTTACAATAGGCTTGCAGCATAGTAGGTACAAAACCAGAATAAGCTGATGAGTGTTTTTGTGAAACTTCAAAGTTCCCTGAATGTTCCATAATCATTTCAATAATTTGCATAAGTTCTTTCTGTAATTACTCAGGACACCACCGGAGCCTGCAGGTTCCACTGAAGGACCCT